TCTTCATGTATTTGTTTTCAAATTAAGACCCCCTGCTGCAGGGAGAAGGCTTTCTAACATGTTTTGTCCTTACCAGGGCAGGTTACAAATTTAAAAACCAGCAGAATGCTATTAACTGGTAGAGGCGAAGGAGGTGGCCAGCTAGCATAAATTCCAATTTCTCTTCTCTCCTCCTCAGACGTCTCTTCTTCAGCCAGATGCTCAGGCAACTACTACTCTATTACCTCTTTTCTCTCTTAATGCATCTAACTTTGTTCCAAGGCTTAGTGATTTGGGGATGTTGCAGCTAGCTGCCAAATCCTTTCCCAGGACCAAAGGAACATAAATCTAAAACTGGAATAAAATAGTTTCAATATCAATTTCCAATTATTCACCGATTTCTCTTCAGATCTTAAAATGCTCAGCCTCACAGCTTAGAGTGCTTGGTGAAGGGAGAAAAAAAAATTAAAGATTAACGTCATGGACATTTGCATAATGCCATTATTTGGAAAATGGTGAGAACCTCAGATGTCACTGAGTGATGAGATTATAGGGTAAATGGCGGTGGGATTATAAAGTAAAGCTGTAAGTTAACAGCAGACTGTAAGTCTACCTAATGACCTTTCACTGTTTTACACTAACAGAGAAGAGACTTGTGTTCAATATTAAATAGAACCAGTCTATAACCAAGTTCTCACATGGAGACATTCTGTAACATGAGATGTCAAAAGGACTTCCCAGGATTTTTACGTGACCTGCTGAAATGGAGATGGCTTACTTCCCTGAAACCTCAAGTTTGTTTGACAAAACTTTAAAAAATCCTCAAGTAGCAAAATAAGTAACTACTCTTAAATGCAATGTGTCTTTTCTAAAACCTGTTAGGAAAACTTTTCAAACAACAATGCATTAATTAAGATTTCCAGAAGTAATTGAAATAAAAGAAAAAAATCTACTTCTATGAAAAGATCTAGTTGAATTTCATTTCCTGATGCTACACTTCACTTCGCAATCTGCAGACTTGGGGAACACCAGCCTCTCCATTTCGCCTTAGAAGTGGCTCCTTTGGCAAGTGTTGCTGTAACTGTTTAACCACATATTACACATAGTGTTCTATGAATATGGTCGTTCAAATCGGATTAATTTTAGATGAGTAGATTAGAATGACTAGACATTGGAATGAAGATGACTCTAGGATAAATTTTTTTTTTTTAAATATGTCAAAGCTGTGAATCTTCACAAGTTCTCTAGTAATCACAAACCTGGGGAAGGTCTGTAATAAGTAAATACTGTAAAATTGTTCTTATACCTTAACAGAGAAACTACCTGCAATGCCAGCATCTGGGTGAATCTGATGCACTTTTCCTCAGGAAAAAGCCCACCTGGTGTTTTTCTTACCTAAATTTTCCGAGATTAAGATTCTGCAGAGGAAAGAGGATTATGGTTTCAGAATCTGGTCAAGTGGTCCCATTAGACTTTCCAGGCCACTTGCTACTTGCAATTCGTAAAGAAGCTGCTCTCACTCCACCTGACAGCTAAGAGATTGATATTCTCATTTTAAAGGGGGGAAAAAACTCTTAGGAAGCCACACACTCTTACTTGTTCTACTGTACTGCCCCATCTTTCCTGATGACTTTACCAATTGTGATAAACATTAGATTACAAAGCTTTTTTATCATTTCCCTGTCCTTGGTTCTGTGAACTGACTTTTTGTCTATAACCATACCAGTTTCTTCGCTACTCACTCTTTTGGAGTGATGTGTGCTGTCAAATACATTTAAAATAAAAATATATAGCCTGATTACAGGGAATTTACGGAACAACAGAAGTTGGAGATACAAAACAGATACTGACATTTATGGCCATACAAAATGTATAGAAGTATCCAACATAAATAAGTTTTGTAAGAAATTGTATGTTTTGCTGTTTCTTTAGCCTTTCCCCACATTTCTTCTGCGGATCCTCTGCAGTTGCAAAGATTAAGCGTCTTCTACAGTGCTTCAAAGATTCATTACATGATTAAAATATACCGATAGAATTCATTTTCTGTCCCATCTAAGAGTGCTGTACATGAAACTTTGCCTCACATAGAACGTTATTAAAGTTTATTTACAATGTAAGCTTTCCGATGCTAAGAGCTGAAGTGTGTGATCAAAGGCTTTGCCTCATTTATCACATTTAAGAGATTCCTTTCTGAAATGAATTCTCAGATGTGTAAAAGATGTGAACTGTTCCACTTATTAAACATGTCACTATCTCTGGACGTAGCAGTTTCACTTCTATGCCTGTAGTACAATATTAAGTGCCTTCCACATTAAGATGCATCCGCAGGTTCTAGCCTGTCTGCTAGGTTGGAGTAGAAACAAGTACTCCACACCTTGGAAGAATTTGACTTTTCTTCCTGGCAAGATTGGAGTACATTTAAAAATTCTTCAAAACCTTCCATGAGGTCACTGGCATGTCAATGAATAACTGCAGAATACTTAAACTGTTACCAGGTTTCACATTTTTTTATGATTATCCCAAGCACTACTTAGATATTGCAAGTCTTTTTGATTATGTCTCTGTTACACTTTGTAATGAACATCTGATAATAAATGCAATGCAAATGGCTCTAATGAACAGTTGCAGTCTGAGATTTTCTCAGCAACACATCTTCAAACAGCTTCTTCAGGGAGCAGAGCACAGCAACTGAAGAACTGAAGCAACCTTGGGGGCTACTCCAAGATTAGTAGGACTCCTCATTAAAAAGGAACGTGAATGTGGGGGGTGGGCACAGGTTACATTTAGTCAACTTTCACTAGGAAAAAAACATATGCATTATGATTTCAGCATGTAGCTGTGGCTTTTTTTTTTCTTTTTTAAAAAAAGGGTCATTGTGGGGCTGGACAAAGTTCTTTCCTTACCAAGAACAAAGGGGAGTCAGTGTTTTGATTGGTGCCTGGAATGAACTTGTCCCTGTCCATGCTCAAAAACGGCAGCAGCTTTCTACGTAACCATTATCCTTGTGGCTTATTCTTTGAAGAAAATTCTTAACAGTATTCCTTCTACTTCCATTTTAGTATATATATTAAAAAAAGGGTACTTGGGTAGTCTTTTGGAGTAATTTCTTCTGTTTCCCTTAAATTAAATGGACAGAAATATTCTGGTAGCCAGTTGACTTTCAGTCTGAGACTACGTAGGACCTTATCTCCTTAGCTCCCCATGAAGCCGTAATGCCTCAGGGGCTTTTAGAGTTGGTCACTGAACAACTGGTAAGTAATATAGTATATTTCTTGAGGGAAAATTTCAGGTGATATATAGGGTTATGATAGTCTTGGGATTTGTTAGTAGTCTGTATATCTAAGTTTCTGCAGGGTTTTTAAAAATAATTTTATCTTCTCAGTCACTGCAACCCAAGTCCTGATGAATGCCTATGTGATGCACAATACTTTGTTCTCTTGTGTGTTAAAGTGTCATCTGTGGCCTCTAGTTTGCCAACTGTATCCTCCTGCTCCGATGATGGAAGACTAGTTTTAGAGTTCCATTCAGTCTTTAGTGATGAAAACCACAAAATGCATGACATCATGCTGATGCTATGACCAACCCCATCTTGTTCTCTGGTGAACTTTGCAGAGCAACAAGATAGGTTCAGTAATTGAATAGATAGTGATGCCAAATGCTTCTGCAGTTTCTAGAAAAGAGTGGAATAATGCTCCTCTATAACTTTCCTTTATCTGAAAAGCAACAAAAATGGTATCTTCTGAACTACATTCTCTAGAGTAATAGATGTTTCAGAAAGTGCTCAAATTATGTTGTTCAGGAGCGAATTTTGGCTAAAATCTTTTCCTTAGAAAGTGGTCAGAAAAACGGCCTTGTTTAATGTTCCTATTCTTTTTAAGTAAGATGATGACAATTAAGACTTCTTTGTCATCTGTGGTAAGAACGCATTCAACTGTATTTGGAAAAGCAACTTCCCTTTAAAATATTTAGGTCAAAAATCAGCATTAGACTCTCAAACTTCACCAGGCCTCAAGGTGCTGAAGGTCCAAGGCTGGGCCAGGCTACCACTGCTCATATACTCCTGATTCACAAGACCCGATCATCAGTAGAAAAGCTTTGCTAGGCGTCAGTCATAAGTGCCCCGTATGTGTGCGGAGTTGTGTTCAGTGCTGTCAAGGAAACAAACAGTTCCAACGGCAACTGAAGTTTCTTTTTTCTGGGGACAGATAAAAACTCAAACGAAACAATTTAAGTTCATTAGACAGTGTACAATCAAGTGCTCAACTGTAGACAAATGCATTGAGGAGTGCCATAGTGCTTCAGGGATTTCCAGAAGGGAAATTCTGCTTTTTTCAATTGCTGTTCCCATTTCATAATTTACCTCGGGGATGAGGAGAAAACCATCTACGCCTGTTACCATTCTCTGGAACTGCAGACTGGTGCACGTACCCCAACTTTCAGGATGAGACAGAAATCTTTGGTTTGGTACCAGGCACAGCGCTAGATTTCTACAGCTTTGGTAGGCCACCAGGGATCATGTATCTAACTTATTATATAAGTAACTTGTTTAAGCAGCCATGTCCCAAGGTAATTTTAAAAAGCTGTCCCTCTGCCCTTTTTTTTAAGAAGATGGTGGCCAAGTAGAACTTCTTTGTAGCAAATAGCTTTTTAACCTCAGTATCTTTTTCACAGAGCTACTCTCTCACTTTGTATGCTGTGGTGGTGAGGGGGGCCTTCGAGGCATCCTCACTATAGAAAAGCCTGACATTTTATGGTGTGTGTACTTCTATCTTGTGTTGGAATATCACATCTTATCCAGATGACCAAGTTTTCCCTGCAGGGACTGTGTGGAAGAACGGCACACCCTCAGACTACAGAAAAGGGGAACACTGCTTGTGTATCTCTAAGGATCCTTAAGTGTCATTTTGTTGTGGTTTGTTTTTTAGCTTTTGAGGCTGGTTTTGTACCCCTCTATGGGCTTATTATCATAGAAATAATTTTAGAAACAAAAGGGGGAAATGGCTTGTGGATGAATTCTCCCTTTACACACAGCTCTTCAGGAATGCTCCGAACGCATCAAGGGAGGCTGGGGTGTAATCAGAGGCTCGCTCTCTGGTGTGAATTCTGTGGTGCAGAGTGAGGGTTGAGCTCCGAGTGAAGGCCTTACCACACTTAGTGCACTTATAAGGTTTTTCTCTGGTGTGAATTCTCCGATGCAAAATAAGGTATGAGTTTCGGTTGAAAGCTTTCCCGCACTCACTACATTCATAGGGTTTTTCCCCAGTGTGGATCCTCTGATGTTTAGTCAGGTCTGAGCTCTGGCTAAAGGCCTTCCCACACTCATTACATTCATATGGTTTCTCTCCAGAGTGGATCCTCTGATGCAGAATGAGATTGGAGCTGTGGCTGAAAGCTTTGCCACACTCATTACATTCATGAGGCTTCTCTCCTGTGTGGATTCTCTGATGCAGGACAAGGTTTGAATTAAGACTGAAGGCTTTGCCACACTCATTACATTCATAGGGCTTTTCTCCAGTGTGGATTATTTTATGGCGAATAAGGCTTGAACTCCTTGTGAAGCACTTGCCACATTCATCACATCTGTGAGACTTTGTTCCTGTAGGGACTTCTTCAGGGGTGTTAAAGTTTGAACTCAAACTGAAGCTTCTCCCCAGTCCTTTGCCCTTCTCTCTTGGGGCTCTCTCTCCTGTGGTGGGTTTTTTACCCTTGACTGTGGTTGGTCCCGAGTCTCTCTTCTCTTTGCCATTTTTCTCCTCAGAGTGTTTCTGCTGCTGTTCTGTTACTCTGCCTTGTTGTTCATGTTTTTCTCTAAAAGCTTTTTGGAATCTTCCTGTTGTTTCCCCATGTGATGCTGAGTCCTCTGCAATCTTAGCCTTGGAGGTTGACTCCTCACTCTCATTCCTGTTTCCACCTGACACAATAAACAGAAAATACAAATAGTACCTTTTTCTTTTGAATGCACAGGTTAAACAAGTGACATGATTTTCTGGGAAGTCTGCAAAATGACTTTACAATATTAACTGGAGATAAGACGGGGGAACACTCAAGCTACAAAAAGAGTCTATGAATCCAGTACTATAGTTCAAACAAACAAAATTACAACATTCTTTGATAGTTATCAGAAATAGAAGCAGATGAAAAAATTAGTAAACAGATATTACATATACTAAGTTGGGTACAAGAAAAATCATTAAAGGGATGATCAGTTCACTATCATTAAACAAAGGGAAGACAAAGGTGCACAAGAAATACAGTCAACAAAGGGAAACATTCTTACATACTAAATGTTGCCATTACTAACAAAAATAAAAATCTGTAAGTGGATATATACGCAGACAGCTAAGACACAGGCAGGTGAAAGGAACTGTATTAATGACATATAGGTTTGGCAGATGATATTTATACACTCTTATTAGTATATACTGCAAATACTTCCATGTATAGAGCAGAAACAAGAGGCTACATAGTTATGTAAACTTCTTAATCATAACTAAATACTCTGAGGAAATGAATGAGGCCACCTGAGTATAGTCTCAAGGGACATCAAGGTCAACTGGCATAACACAGATGATGTTTAACAATGCAGCTTGGACTTCTTCCTGTGGTCCACTGGTTCTAGAGCATGCGCTAGCTCCTGGAAGAAATGAGCACTGACTAACTCTTTTTCATACAGTGACTCTGGGTATCCCTTCCAGCTTTTTATTTTTTGTGTCACTCTGTACTTTGTTGATAGAATCCTTCAGTGTTACAACTTCAGAGCACCAACTATGCTCTTCTTTTGGTTTTCTAGTTTCAGGTTTTCACACATTTCTCTACAATACTTTGCCTTGTCTTCCTTCCTGAGCTACTTCTTTTTAAAAAAATTTTATTTATGTTATTTAATTATGTTTTTTGCAAGAAATCTAGAACACCAACTTATAAGGATAAACTCTATTGGTGAGGGAGAAGAAAGAATACAAGTAGCTTTTGAGATGAGGAATAGCTCTCATTTTTGGCAAAATTTGGGAGTCTAAAAAATTTGGGCGTCCACAGCTTTCTGATCAACCTTGCGCTGCTCTTTAATCATGTATTCTCCTTCTCTGTGTCAAAGATCTCGTGCTCCTGGTTCTGGGCTTCTGCAGCTTATTCCTGAATTAAGTGTCAATAAGATGTTTTTGGAATTTTGCACCACTTATTTTTTTTCCCCCACATAATTTTAGTGGAGGTGGCAATGATAAATTTCTGGGGTGTTCTCCACAGAGGAACCTGACTGAGGTCAGAGGCCTGGTCCATTCACATATGTTATATTCTACTTTTTTTCTTTTTTAAAGTCAAGTAACACAGCAGAATTTATTGTGTTTTAAGAAAGACTACAGAAAGGTAGAAAACAGCTCAGCACACTAGACTACAAAAATATAGAACGCTTCACGAATTTGCGTGTCATCCTTGCGCAGGGGCCATGGCTAATCTTCTCTATATTGTTCCAGTTTCAGTGTATGTGCTGCCGAAGCGAGCATTGGAGTCTTCTTTGAAGCATCAGCGCTTTCTATCCTGAGGCTTTATTTTTTGGCACAGTATCAACGCTATTCAGCTGCTACTTATTGTCCAGTTATTTTAGAAGTGGATGGCCTACTCTGTTTTAGTCTGGAAACAAAACTGAAACCTGTCCTGCAGGCATGCCCCTGCTGGTATGTGAAATACTAGTGGTATAGCTTCTAGCATCACAGCAACACACAAGCCACCACAGTATGACTAACTGGAAGACAAATGGTGTAGCATATCAGGTGAGAAAACCAAGTATTACCATTGGATATGATCTCTTAGGACTTATTTTTTCCTTTCTTACTAAGCATTTAGGATCCAGGCCTCTTCATAAGAGAGCACCAATAGGTTTTGAAAGGGTGATCTTGACATAAGCAAAGTACAGGGAGAGGCCTGTTCATGTAGTTAGACAAAGCTCTGAGCAGTGCTTTACAGAATGGATGAAAACAAAGTCCATTTAATGGCTTTGAACTAGACCAACAATCTGATCACCCAGACTTCTTTACTAGGAAATGCAAGCACTTCTCTATCTAGCAAGGGAACCTAAACTGTAACTTAACGGGAGCAGGGAAGCAGTATTTTCCCAGGTAACTAAGAGGTTGTAGAGGTAAGAACCCAGGGTATATGTGTCCATTTCTCATTTCAAAGAGCAAAAACTACCTAGGAGTAAACCAAAACAAAAACCACCACTGTGAGTCAAGGTGTCACAACATCATACTTTATGGATTAAATAAACAAACATTTTATATCTCTAATTTGTCCAAATAAAGGGTCTCAGAATTCTCTATATCATCTTCTACCCTCAACCAAGTACACATCAGATTCTACAATCAACAAAGATGCAAACGACCTGAATTATACAATGATGCTGCTTTAGTCTTACCCTGGGAAAATATGCTCCCAAAAGTCTCCTGTCTGTTGTCTCTATTGAGATTCCTCCGAGCCAGGTTCTGACATCCCCATTCCTCAAGGATGAGAGACACTGCCATGTCCTCGATCTTCACCATTGCCTGGAAGAATATGAGATCCCCACACTGAGTTTCTCCAAAGTTCAGAGACAATCCTACACCACACCTCAAGCCAGGGAGGGTTTTCAGGAAACCACTGGTTGCTGGGAAAGATAACATGGTCTTAGAAGGCTCTAATGAAAAAAAAAGGCGCTAATGAACTGGGAGTTTGTGTTAACAAGGCAGCAAATGGATAGTGTGGTGTAGGATTTCTCTTTGGGCAAAGGCATCAAGAGTGAGTGTCTCAGGTAGAGATGTTAAAAGAGGCCCAGGACAAGAGGAAGACACAAAGGATTGAGGAGCAAAGAGGGGCCCACAGCTGACCTGGGAATCTGCTGTGAACAGTGCAGATGCCATCGCCTGGTCTTTGGGAATCCCCTCACGAGAGGCAGGAACGTGAGAAGCAGGGAGAGCTAGAAGAGGAGAAAGGATCTGTGAGTAAACCAGCTCTGCTCTGAGGCCTTATGTCAGATCCTGAGGCCATGCTCTTTCTTGCGCAAGCATGCTCAATGTTCCATCAGACAATAAGTAACTGCAGAGAATATAAAAATGAGAAGGATATTTCTATTTTCAGAGACCTCTAATCTCAAGCAAGAGTCACAAAAAAAATCATAGAGTCCTTAGAACTGCCTAGTCTGACCCTTTATTTTGAAGAAACCGAGGCCTTGGGAGGTAAACAACCTGTCTAACAGAATAGAGTATCAGAGCGAGGACAGGAACCCAGATTCTTATTCCCCACTACAAAAGTGAGTGATATATGACCCATCATCCAAACCTGGCTGTTAATTTTCCTCTAGTTCAAGGATTAGTATACTAGGATATCATATTCTCCTGTATGCTGAAAGGTAAAATGACATGCCCAAGGTAAATTAGTGAGTTGAGAAGTAAATGGGACTATTTTAAAAAATAAGTTGGTGTGTGGACATGTTTTTATTTCTCATGGGTAAATACCTACAAATAGAATTGCTTATAGTATATGTATGTATGTCTAACTATAAGATATTGCCACTATCACTGAAATGATATGACACTGAAGTATATGTATAAAAATACTGAATGGATGGGTTTTCCTAAAACAAACAAACAAACAAACAAACAAAACAAAACAAAAACAAAAAAACCAAAAACTAACTCATGCAATTTTTTAATTAAATGCATACATTATTCAAATGCTGATCATATTGCTGAATTATTGTTACTGCTGATTACCTTTGAGTTGAGCCCGACCCTATGAACAAAAGACCTGAAGCCCCTCTGCAGATAGAGTTCATAGAGTTTCTGGAGGCATAGGGAAAAAAATTTAAACTCAAATTTATCTCCATTGCAGTATTAAATTTGAAAATGTTACTGGTTAACTATTGTTAACCAATATTTTGGTTAAAAAAATGTGACAAGACACTACAGAAATAAATCTGAAACTGAATTACTAATCCGTTAACTCTAACTCAGAGCTCACCCTCCAGGGGGGTTTTAAGAGGCTGTAAACTGCATGGAAGGAGACTGCCCATCCTTCTCCTTTAGAGCAGCTGGTAGATCTGAACTGCTTGCTTTTGGGCTGGCAACATAATACCCGACTCTAAGTAACCAGAGCTACCAGAGCTTCCCCAAAACAAGATAAGCATAGCAAAAACAGATGTTGCTGTTGTTGTTATGTGCCATCGAGTCGTTTGTGACTCATAGCGACCCTATGTACAAGAGCTCTAAATGCTACTCTATCCTGTGCCAACCTAGCCATCTCAAACATACTTATTCCCACCAGTCACAGAATCGATCCATCTCATCGAAGGTCTTCCTCTCTTT